ACTCCCTACGAGGAGCCCGAACTCTCCCTTTGGCCCCGAGCCACACAAAGCAGTGACCCGAACTAGCCCGCCTCATGGCAGTTCGGGACACTCCCCTATCCGAACTCAAGACTTTGCCTCGCACACCGCTCCAGCACTTCGCCTCTAGAACGCCGAACTAGACAAACCACACCGTACCTGACACTGAAGGAGTCCGTATCCAGGGGCAGCGCACTTGACTGACTTGGGATCTGACACTTGACAGCCGCACTTCAACGGCCACCTGCCACCGTCACCTGCCACCACCATCTCCTGTTATAGAGACGGCTCCGACAAAAAGAGCAGTGGCGGTTTTGCCCCAGCAGAGGTGATGACACCCGAACTGGAAGAAGCATGGAAGTAATCATACCCAACCTGACAGAAGCCTAGGAGTGAGTGCGCGAGGTGGTTATAAAAGGCTCTCTACCCCCCAAGAGCATGGTATGCAAACTTTGCGCTAGCTGGTTTTATCTTGCCTTTGAAGACTTGAGCTTCAGAGCCTTTACACCGGGTTCCCCCCGGAGCTTCCTCATCTTCTCCGTTTCAGGTTCCCTACTACTCAGTTCAGAGGCAAGGTCGTTGACAGGTAAGACCGGCCGGATTGTGCATCATCACTAATGATCATAAATTGGTAATTAACTTATGGGTTTTGGCATTGGAGTTAAGGAATTTGTTTGCCCTTAAGTACATATGTTGCTCTAATGTTCTCACACTGCAAAATTGAAGTTTGAGGAAGAAAAATCCTCTTTTGAGATGGACGTTCTTCCCACCTTGGTTCTCCTTGTTATTTATATCCCTTTCTGTATGTAGAGTTTGCAAACTGGCTATCATGCAATCTATTTGTTTTGATAAGACATGGGATAAAGTTTTACTACTTTGCAGATTTGTGTGACTTCTTCATCAGCAATAGATCCTACTAGACTTTTGGGTCCAGAGCTTATTCATCAAAGAGCATGACATGTAGAGCTTCATCAGCAGCAAACTCTTATAGACTTTTGGGCCCAGAGCTTCTTTATTAGAGAGCACAATACAGAGCTTCATTAACAACAAACCCTCATAAACTTTTGGGTCCATAAGTTCATCAGAGAGCATGACACATAGAGCTTCGTTAGCAAAGACCCCATAGACTTTGGGTCTAGAGCTTCTTCATCAAAGAGCACAACATGTAGATCTTGATCAACAGTAGACCCTTGTAGACTTTTGGGTCTAGAGCTTCTTCATCAGAGACCACAACATGTAAAGCTTCATAGATCTTCAGGTTCGACGTCTCTTGGATTTGGAGATTGGCTAGTAGATCTAAAAACTAATTTGTAAAAAATAGAAAATATTAAAATTATCTTAATAATTCATGCCACTAATTCTCCCTCCTCTAAATTACACCATTAATTTTTCTACAATTCATTAACTCAATTTATATCTATATTCATTTCAATTTAATTGTAAATTAATTTCAATTAAATAAAACATAATTCCATCTAATTACAATTTATAAAATAATTAACTTAATATAATTACTATTTACTTCATAATGTAAAATAAGTTCTATTTGATTATATTTCATTACCCATATAATATTAAATTGTAGAATATTAGGCTAAATAATATGCTTCCATTTAATTATAATTATTAATAAAAATGTATAATTATTGACAAAATTTAACTTTGTATAAGAAGAAGTATTAAAAAGAATCCTCACATTTTAAAATTATTCAATATAAATTCAAATTTAATTATACAAATAAAACACCATTACATATAATGTTTTATTAATAACAATAAGTAAATAATAAACTGAACTTTAAATTCCATACAAAAAACTAATTTTAATAGAAATGTATAATTAATTTCCTAAAGGAACTATTAAAATTATAATCCATTAACTATACATTTGAACATAATAAAAAATAATTTAACATAGTAAAAGAAATTAAAAAACTTAATTAAGTAAGGAAATAAATATTAATTTTTATTATTTATGATAATAAATTTTATTAATATAAAAATAAGATAATTAAATTAGTAAAATTAGTAAATGTTTTTTGCTTATTGGAATTTTAAAATTAATAACACTATATTTATTAAATAATAAAAGGATATAAGTTAATAAATTTTTTTCTTCATAAATTAATAAAACAATAAGAATTTAAAAATTAATATTCGTTCAAAATTCATTTAATATTAATAAATTAAAGAAATAATTAAAAGTAATTAACATAAAATATTGTAAATTTATTAGTTTTGAAATTTGTTTTCCTTAATTTAAATCAAATTTACATGTTGGTAAATACAAAGACTGATAAATTATGGTTGGTTTGAAACTGGATTTGCTCAACCTACTTGGGAATATTGTTATAAGAATTTGATTTAAGTAAAAAGTAATGGAATTGGAGAAGACAATTAAAAACCAAGGAGTTTGTGATGGTTGTTGAGACACGATGAAGGAGTTATGCATTTTGCTTATGTAAGTTACGAAAAAACATGATGCTAGGGGAATGTAATAGATCTGTTCATCTTGCCTCAACTTTTCATTTTGTGGAGAACAAAAATTATAATAATGTTATAATTTGAGTCTCATTTAGCTATAATTTAAATTCAGTTCAATTAGTTTGTAGATTAATTAATTAGTAATGTTAAAGGAGTAAGGACCAGCTTCACAACATAACAAAAAAAAAATGCTTGAGTTGGATACTTGGATTGGTTTAGCCCAATTGGGAAAACCATAAGGCTCCTTCAGCTTCTAATTCTTTTAACAAATTAAGCCCCTACATTAATTGCACAGGTTCACACTAGTATAATTCTAAAAACAATCTTTACCAAACAAAACCCACAGCAATAACACATTTAACAAACAGATTCTACAACAAAAAATACATAGTCAAAACCCAAAAGTAGGATTTTGCTTTTAGACTTCGATAAGCACAAGAGCAAAAGCTTATCCAAACACAACCTAGATCTATCTATAAATTTAAATGCCATAATTCAAATTACAGTATATAAGACTCCACATTTTGGTTTGGAACAAAAGGTAGGGAAAGGTTGAAAACCTATACAAAGTTTATAAAGATTCCCCTACCTTCCACTTCCTTTCCCTAGCTACTTTTTACTTCAAACCAAACACACCATAAATGAAAGTAAACACTCCACATCATTTACAATCACAAGTACTAATCTTAACTAACACTTCTATACTTAAAAGAAAAACTCTAGTAGGCATTAGGTCCTTCAAGTAACTTCACTCAAATAATAATTAATCAAACATCTCCCCTCCCAAATCTTCTAAGAAGTAATTTTATTCAAATAATGTCCATATCTGAAGCTAATAGGTCCCAAATGTTTTTACTGAAAGACAAGTGATCCCCCTCATCAGTAGTGCTRYTTATTTCCTCATAAATGTTTCCAAACCCTGTCATTGCTGGTTGCACTTCAACCGCAAGGCTATCTTCTTCTGACCCACTGATAATGGGGCAGGTGGTGTCCACCATATCACTTTCATCTAAGACACTCTTCCACCATTGCACGAGATCGTTTGTAGGTGGTGGAAGATCAGGAGATGTCTCGTTAGGCATTTCTCCTGATCGATTATTTGTGCCCACAGTGGTAGAATTATCAGGGKCCGCCTTGCTAAGAATTTCTCCTGATTGGCTCGTAGCGCCCTCACTGGTAGGATCARGCAATGGTCTGAACCATCGAGAGCTTTTTGTGAAGGTACGAGGCTGAGGTCTGATAGCTTTGATCTTCTCAACTGTGGTGTTCGCTTTCTTCTCTTCTTTGGAGACAAGTTTCTTCTTGCTCAACCGTGTGTTGCAATAATTCTTTATGTCGTTCGCTGTTCTTCCGGGAAGTCTGCYGGCAATTAACGACCATCTGAGAATTAAAAGAATAGAAAGATAATTTAGGTGACGTTTGATAAATCTGAAATTTTAGATCTGAAAAGTTAAAAAGATAATTGTCTGAAATGTGAAAAGAAGCATATATATTTTTCTACTTTTTAGAGACTTTGAATCCACAAGTTTGTTTGTCTTTGATCACCCTTTACCATCTAAAATTTACTGATTTTACTATTTTACCCCTACAACATACTATTTGGAAATATTGAGTTTAATTTTGCATTATCTCATAAAAAATAATTTATGACCTCAAAATAATATTGAAACAATTCAACTAATAAATAATAAATTAATAATTAATAAATGAAATGATTAAAATTAAAAAAAATAATTAATGACTATAAAAATATTAAAAATTAATAAAAATAATTTATAATTATTATTATTATTACTCATTGAATCGCCGCTATTGCAAGTTGTAGTAGCGGCGATGGCAAGAAGATAGGGGAGAGAGAGAGAGAGATGTTGAATGGAAAGATGCATTTTTTACTTTAGGCCACGCCTAAAACGTGTTTGAACGCCTTAAGTGGCAGGCCTAAGTCTAAAAATTTCAAATTTGAAAAAACTTTTCAAACCCTATTTAATATGCGGCAATAAACAAAGTGGCGTCTGAAAAGAATATTTTCAGATATAGAAATCTAAAAAGTACAATCAAACACCACCTTAATTTCAATTTGATTTAGTTGATCTACTCGTCATAGCAAGAGTTAATTCTGAAGTAACGTTAGATCAGCTGGTCTCCAAGAGGACTCTTTCAATGTCATTTCAACAGTACTAGTGCAACTTGAGCCAGCAGTAAACATAATGGCCTACACTCATAGCAAGAGTTAATTCTGAAGTAACGTTAAATCAGCTGGTCCTTCCTTTTCCTACATTTTTCTTCAAACCAAATATAACCTTAAGGTTTCTACAATTGTGGACACGGTTCTCCACTTCTCCTACAGCCGGCCCTAAGATAAAACAGACACTATATTAGTCAAGGGCAACCTGTGCAACACCTGACCTTGCCATCTGTTATGTTTTAATTTTGTTTCAAGCAAGCAAATTAACAACTTCATCTATATATACACTACCTGTTCCCTAAGAGCTTATGAAGCCTTATAATCAGATCAACTTCATCTAAAGTGAACTTCCCTCTCTTGATATCCGACCGGAGATAGTTCAACCATCTAAGCCTACAGCTCTTTCGGCATCTATTCAGCCCTGATAATGCAATAACAATAAAGAAAAGTAGAAATAAATAAATAATAAAGCAATATCATCAAACAAACCATTAATTAGAGAACAAATAAAATAAATTTGTACAGTACCTGCTCTAAGAGGAACGAGACACCACTTCCCTTCTCCATACCTCTCAATGCATTTCCTCAGAAGAATATCTTCTTCTTTAGTCCACGCACCTTTTCTTAAACCCAAAAAACCATCCATAACTTCACAAGTTCGTGTCATCTTCTACAAGCTACAATGCACCAAACCCATTTACTTATTTATATTCTCATTTCAACATTTTCTGGCCAGTAATAAACTCCACTACGTGCACTTATCTCAATCACATATTAAGAATATGCCTCCATGGCTTCTTCTTTCTTTCTAACCAAAACATAACTTTACAAATTATTGCTATCAATCAACTACCAGTCATACTCTTCTCCACTTATCCTTCCTATGAACGCAGCTAGATCAAACCAATAGGAGACTAGAAGTTCGTTAGATGGCTTCTCTGTTTCCAATTGCATCAACATTTTATCCGCCAGGTCATCTATCCTATTATTTGCTGCCACATTTAATGCTTTCTTTTTTTTAAGTCTAAACCCAATTTCATTCATAAAATGCTCAGGTTACAAAGCAAAAAAATGAACAACAATCAAAAAAGCATATTAAGCATGCTAAAACAAAAACACGTAACCACGAGCACCAGGACAAAAACGACTTGAGAAATCTCTGCAACTAATGCAAATTTAATAAAAAACATCAAAACGGTCAGCTAAATTAATGCCACCAATAAAGATGAAGCCAGAAAGTGTTTTTCCCTAACAAATGAGTTCGGATCAATTACACAAAACCCTCAAGGGTATAGAGAAAACAGATACCACCGCACCCAATCTATGACATAAATGAAAACGTGAAAGCGAGAGGACCAAGATCACCTCCTGTTAAAACTGTCCCAAACCTTCTTTTTTTTTCGTGATGGAAGATATTTATTTGAGAAGAACGAGCAAACCAGCTGCCAGATGTGGTGGAGTTCGAAGCAAGAAGCCAGAGATTCCTCTGAAATCACCACAAAATTAAAGAAATTTGGGTGATGTTTGGCATGGATGTTGATTTCCCCACATAGGATCCACATCAGAATTTGAAGAATCAGTGATTTTTTTCCTATTTGGTTGGCCGATTATGTCGATTTCTGAGAAATCAGCCAAAACCAATTATTAAAATCAGTCCTTTTCAGGGATCACATTTTCTGATGATTTCTTGATTTTTAACTGATTCTGAATATTTAAGAATGACATGATATTAATAAATCCAATACAAAAATAATCGGCCCTTAAAAAATTAGTACCAAAATTGATTTCTCAAGAATCAGCTTAAATGACATAAATAATATCAAACAACAATTTTTGGTGATTTTTCAAAAATCTCTGATTCTAGAAAGAAATCATCATTTGTTTTTAGCTAAAACTGTATAATATATTACATATGAGGAGATCTGTAAAGCCAACGGGCAACAACTATGCTTGAAAATTATGTATCCATTGTCTCAAATAAGGCAATTATTGATCATCTATCAGGTCATAATTAATAAATAAGACAATTATTTATTTTTCCTTCTCTATTGATCTAGATAGATAGACCAGTAAATCTCCATTGGTTCTTTCAATTTTTGACCTGATGGACGATCTTTTAATCCATTTCAGCCACTGCAACTCATGATAATTTATCCTTATTTTTTATTTATTCCATAAATGCAACAACCACCACTTTGCACAGTTGCTGGTATTCTTTAAAATTTCACCAATCACCATTATACACGCCACCATGGATCAAGCCATCAACTTGCAGGAAAAATGGATAGCCAAACCAAAAAACGTCTCGATCAAAGCCAAGAAAGCAACATCAGTGGTTCCAGACCCAAAACCTCCCACGGCCATTGTCCACCGATTAGTACCAACACGGCGACACCATTGTTTTGAAAAACTGTCCCACTCCATTAGAGTCAAGAAAGTTTTCACCGACCAGACAAAACAAATTCATCTATAGAATGGTTATAATTGTCTTTAAAATCTTAAAAAAGAGGGAGAAATACCCAGTTCAAAATTTATTAGGCTCAAAGTACAGAGGGGAATGCATCTGACCATGAATTGATGTTAAATTCACGGACAGAATGTGATTTATACGGGGACAGGGCTGGATTTCAGAATTCTTCATCGTATTTTTCCCTTTTTAAAAAAGTTGGTGGCCCTCAAATAAATGCCTAAAAGTTTTGTCGCCAAATGTTTAAAAAGCGCTTGATTAATAAGTAGAAGCAGCCAAATAAATATCTGTCAAGCGCTTGAAAAGACAGATACCCTCCTTGTATTCTTGCAAATTTTAAGATTTGAGTGGTTGTAACTCGACTACGAAGGATGAAACTGAAGGAGCTCACTTTGACTACGAAAATGAGGGATACAATCGAATCGAGAGAAGTGATTGGTCATGGCTGAACTGGCCCTGTGAGATACATGTGAGATACATGGTCGTCAGCTATGGCGTTACCACGTCATTCCAGCTCAGCCATGTCGGCATAGTTCAGCTACGTCGGTTTAGTTCGGTCACGTCGGTCTAATTCGATCAAGCTACATTATTATTGTGGCCCCCCATATTATCCTTCTAGTCATGTCAACTAAACGTCATATGGATGAGTGCAATTACAAAATGAGGAATAAGGAAGATGACTCCGCTGGGGAATGGGACTTTATCCCGAATACTTCAGCGGCTAACCTCGTTCCAACAATCCCGCAAGCCCAATCCGATCAGGACACAGATCTTCGGCTATAAAAATGTACTCTATGCTCGAGGTAAGGAATCCGAACTTCTGACACCCGTACTGCTACTTAGCTCAGACCAGCATCCTTCTAACTCGGCCCGACCATCTACCACCTCCTACTGACTTGAGCGTTGGAGTACATACCTGGGGATAACTCCTCAGGCTCGTCCTTGTAGCTCGGCCCCACCCTGCTAGCAAGGAACTATTTGGTTACTTTCCTCAGTTCGTTCAACACCTCGGATTGAAGTGCGGCCTCGTCCTCAGTTCGTGCAACACCTCAGATTGAGTAGCATCAGATTGGTGCCATCTGTGGGAACGCACAAAAAGCCCTTTCCGAAAATCTTTTCTTACCGCGCAATCAAGAAAGCGATCAAGATGCCCAAGAACCAGTCCGAGCGTTCAACAGGCCAATTCCCATCTCGGGAGTCTCACCACCGCAGTCCTCTGCATCAAGAAACTCCACAACCTGTAGCCGTAGTTGATCCTGAGTAGTTCCGAGCAATGTAAGAAAAGGTCGACAAGATCTTCGAAATGAAGTAGAACCTAGGACCCGTGGCACCGCCTAGCAAGACTGTCCCCCCTTATGCACCGACACGCACAAAGGATAATCCTCATCTAGAGGACCCCAAAGCGCGTAAAGCAGACAAGGGCATAGCGTGGTCCAACCAAGAAAAGCAGGATACAACAAGAAGGTTGGCCCCCTCCGTTCGCTCTCATAGCACGATGCACCAAACCACGCGGATTCCTGCCAAGGAAAGGCTCGGCAGACGAACGCCACCCCACGTGGTCTTCGTCAACGAATCCAGCTCCATGAAAGACCACGCAGCACGCCCCAAGAAGGAAAGGGCAACACACATTATGACTCCAAACCAAAGGGATGACGAGACTTGAGAACTCCACCTGCGCTTAGAAGAGCTAGATCGAAGCCAGAGAAGCACAATACTAGTTGTAGATCAGCCCGTGCCACCGACCGTTCCCACGGCAAGGGAACCACCCTTCACCTAGGAAATTGTGGACAAGGTACCTCCCACAGGATGGCAGGCACCTTAGCTTGACAAGTACGATGGAAGCATTGATCCCGCCGACCATATTGAAGCGTTGAAGGCTCAGCTAATGTTGCATAGATCCTCCGAGGGCTTGATGTGCAAAACCTTAGTGGCCACCCTCGCAGGTCCAGCCCTAACCTGGTATTCCTCCTTACCTTCGCGCTCAATAGCATCATGGGAGCAGCTGGAGACCCAGTTCCATGCTCAGTTCACAATGAATCAAAAGCATTGGAAGACTTCGGCTAGTCTCATGTAGGTGCGACAGAGGAAAAACAAGTCCCTTAGAGACTACCTGGCCAGATTCAACAAGGAAGCGTTACAGGTCAGGAACCTGAACCAGTCTGTGGCTGTCATTGCTATCCAACACGGCCTCCACCCATTCCCATTCAACTTCTCCATCTCCAAAAACCCTCTACAAACCCTAACAATGTTGATGAGCCATGCACATAAGTATATCAACACAGAAGAAGCGTAGACACAACTACGGGATGAGGAAGAGAGGCCCGACAAGAGGAGGAGAGATACTGAGGAGCGAAAGTCAGAAAGATTAAATTGAGACCATAAGAGGCAAGATTGCCAACCCGACCACAAACCACAGACCACAAAGTCATAGTGCCCATGCCCGGAGAAGGAAAGCTCAGACCAAATTGGGAAGGGTTATATAGAGTCACCAAGGTCTTTAGTCCGGGCACCTACAGGCTCGAAGACCTGGATGGCCGACCAATATTGAGGAGTTGGAACACAGGGAACCTTCGGATGTACTATTAATGATTTCATATTAATAGAGCACCTTGTTCAAGCAAAACGTTGAGCACCCAACACACCACACACACACACACTGCAAAGAGCATGAGCTACACAACCTAGCTGCATGACCACGTTGCGCATATGTAGCTCGGTATAATCCATTGACTCGGCTGACCTCTGAACGTCTTGAGCCCACAACGCATAGCTCGGCAACGCATCGCCGACCTACCAGATTCAGTTGACCTCCGAATGGCTTGAGCCCACAACGCATAGCTCATCAGTGCATCGCCGACCTACCTGACTTAACTGACCTACGAACAGCCTGAGCCTAAACGGAGAAGAACGCTCCCGCCCCTTAGGGCCTGAGGACGGTCAACCGAACTATGCTCTCCTACTGACTAAGTCCGCCAGAGCTCGCCAAGCAACGACTAGCCCTCAAAGGGCCCCAAAGGCTCCCAAGACCGGAAACTGAGCATCCTAAAGAAGAGAGCTCGGAAAGCACTCCCGCTTCACCAGTCGGAGGCTAAAGATACTGGCCAAACCAAACCTCGGCCAAGGCATGACCGAGGAAACAAAAACAAAATATATAAGTTGCACACAAGTTCGAAACCAAAAGATTTCATTAAGTTAAAAGT